GTTTCATTACTTGAATGTCAAAACATGCCTTACTTGCAAGTACGTGGTAAAACTGTTTATCTGTTTATTTGACTAATTCACATAGTATAAGTTCGGCCGGGACCCACCATTGTGGACCGCGAGGGGTGCCTAACACCTTCCCCTCAAGGTTATTTCCAGCCCTTACCCTAAATCTCTGGTAATGCAAACTAGTCCATGAGTTAATTGCTCAAGGTGCCCTAACGCACCATAATTCATTCGGTGGCGACTCTTAAAAACCCAATTCCCAAAAGGAAAAGAGTTATTCCCCATGAAATGTCGAAACCCGGACGTTCTCCGCGAGGAGGAAAAAAGGGGGCGCGACACATCCTTAGTAGATGTGCCAATGAAAGTAGGTGGACTATACCTCTTGAACCTCTCAAGCCTCTTCCGCTCCTCCTCTGATACCCCTAGCCTGACCTAAGGCTGAACCGAAATAACAGGCTATACCGGCACCACATTTGGAACCTGACCAATGTGAGCCCGCTGCTCTAGAGTACGGGCGGTTGGAATCTGAGCTCCTCCCCTAATCTCTAAAGTAGCTTGTGCAACGGAGATCAATCCCGCTTGAGCCAATGTGCCAAACATTCTCAGGAACTGTGCTAAAGTCTCCTGAAGTCCGGGGGTAACAACAAGCGCCTCTAGTGCCTGTCCCGCAACAAGAGCTACTGGAGGCTCATCAACTGCTGCTCTGATAGGTGCTCTAGTTGCGGCGCGTGCCCCTCCTCGGCCTCTACCTCGACCCAGCCTCTCGCGACCTTAGCAGGGGGCACGGGTGTCTACTCAACTTATATGGTAGCACGTGTCCTCACCATCTGTGAGAGAATATAGATACAAAGGCTCAAACTTTGAAATCAACAAATCCGTACGGCAAGAATGAAAGAAGTGGAATTTTCCTAATAGTTCTGTAGCCTCTCGAACATAAGTACTGATGTCTCCGTACCGATCCGCAAACACTACTAAACTTGATAGTGACTCGTTAAACCATTGAACCTAGAGCTCTGATACTATCTTGTTCCGACCCCAAACTCTCTCCGTAGGATGTTGTGATGACACCTAGTCTCTAAGACTAGGTAAGCTGATTACTATAACAATTAAGCCAGTTTTTAACAATGATAATTTTAAATAGAATTTAATATGAATACCGAAACAAGAGCAAAATGAGCCTACACAGCAATAATCATAACAACCTCCCAATACTGGTAATATATAGTCACGAACTCTAGCTAAGCACATGGAAAGATCTCAAAGATCGAAATACAATACTGTTCAAATAACAAGCTGACAGTACAAAGAAAGGAAAGAACTCCAAGGGACTGCGACGACCAAGCAGCTCTACCTTGTATCCTCGCGACCAATATGCTAACTCTGCCCGAGTCTGATATCTCCAATACCTGGCTCTGCACAAATGTGCAAAAGTTTAGTATGAGTACACCACGGTCGGTACCCAGTAAGTATCAAGACTAACCTCGGTAGAGTAGTGACGAGATACAAGTCAAGACACTTACTAGAACAAAATAACATGTGAGTATAGAAGTATAAAGCTAATAACGGAAAGCAGAAATCAGTAAATGGCAACAAGAATCAACAAGTTATATAAACAGTAAAGCAATAAGAACACCGTAAAGTATCGTTAAAACCAAATGAGGAACACAAAGGACAACCAATTAATCAAGCCGTTCTAACACAAGTTCACAACGAAATCACTGTGTGATACCTCATCTCATAATCACAAGTCACGAGTCTCAACCCACCATCCTATGCTTACGATACCTTGTGCCCACATTTCAAATCACAACCGCATGGACAACTCACGTGCCAATATCTCAATCCGCCCAGCATGGTCACATGCTCAATTTTGCAATATGTACGACGTGGTCATAAGGCTCAATATCAACATGAAAACAGATAATACAAGAACACATGGGCATGATCAATAAATGTCAAGTTTCATACTCCTGAGCTAGTACAAGTGGCATGCTACGGTGTATGCTTGTGCGAGTGTACTACTGCAGCCCAAGTCAACAAGTAATATCAAAGACATAGAGTAGCTTATCGAAGCAACAAAACAAATCACGTAAGGTGTATGACATACACAAGGAAAAACACACCATAACACAAAAATCACCAACACAATGTCCCCAAGCCATCACACATCATCCCTGACATTGCACTCTTATTCTCCGATAGCCACCCGTATCACTCCATCCTGACAATATCATTAGCCACCCGTATCACTCCGTACATTCAACAACTGTGAGATGCTATCCTTATGCCCCGCATAAGAACAACGGTGAAATGCCACCCTTATACTCCGCATAACAACAACCAAACCACACAAAAATTCACATGTGCTAACATCACAATAACACGACATATCAACTTGTATCACAAGTACCCATAGACCACGACCTTTCCAACGATCCAACAATATCAATATTTCCACAACAAATATCCCACGGCTCAACACAATGTGTATAGAATCTCAATAACAACAAAATGAACGGGAAAGTAATTCAACAAGGAACACCACCCCCTTTAAACACAACTTCAATTAAAATAGATTAATGACTTTTGATAGCCTCAATTCCAATTAATTATATAAGGATAAACTCAATAGTGAAAGTATTTCTATGAAATGAAAAACTTTGGATTCTAGTGTATGAATAGGCTAACAATGAAAGAGATGTCACGAACTAGTACTACGTCTAAATGCATGAGAATAACCCGCAACAAAAGGATATCATGTAATAACAATTTCAACTAAGAGTAACTCCACAATAAAAGAAATCACATAATGATAAAAGTGATAATAACTTCAAATAAAATATATAAGAGCAAACTCGACAAGTAAAGAATGTGACATATTACGACAACTTCAAATAAAGCATGTGATAGTAGACATGACGAATAAAAGATATAACATGTGCAAACAATTCCAAATAAGCACATGAAAGAAGCCTAAGAGTCTAAACCGATCAATTTTCAACATATAAGCCCGAGTACGTAATCGTCACCTCGCGTACACGGCTTTCACATGACACAAATAGCACAAACAACTCAAATCCTAAGGGGTAGTTCCCCCACACAAAGTTAGGCAAGATACTTACCTCAAAGAAGCTAGACCGATACTCTAAAATGACCTTCTCGTGTGAAACAACATCTGGACGGCTCAAATCTAGCCAAAATAACTTAATATCGTAAAATAAAAAACATAGGAAATAATTCCGGATAATGAAGCTTCGATCTTTAGTGAAAATAAAAAAGTCAACCCAAAAGGTCAACACCGGGCCCGCTCCTCGGAACCCGACAAAATTCAAAAAATCTGAACACCCGTTCCGATACGGGTCCAACCACACCAAAATTATCCAAATCCAACATCAAATCGGCCTTCAAATCCTCATTTTACATTTTTAAATTTTTTACAAAAATTCTCATTTTCTCCCTTTCAAGTCACTAATCTAACATTAAAAATATATAGGGAATAACGAAATATAATTCGGATAAAAAAAACTTACCCCAATCGAAAGTGTGAAAATCCCCTTCAAAATCGCCCAAATCCGAGCTTCATAGCTCAAGATATGATAAAATGACCAAGACTCGAAATAGAGTACTTTAAATACTGCTCCAGAGGTACCTTTCGTGATCGCGGTCACCAGCCTCACGATCGCGATTCACAAAATTTCCAGCACAAATTTTACCCTTCACGATCCCGAAGAACAAATTCTCATTAACCTTCCCAAACTCTTCTCAGATAGTCTGTAGTATAACAGCCATAACGTTTTGCACAAAACTCCAAATGACAAACAGTTTGATTATTTGCAAAAGCAGACTCAAAGAGTGACAACTTCATTTTTGTATCATCTCCAAATTCCTTATAGATTGCAAGATATAAGTTTTCAAAGTCGGTGAGTGACAACAAAATTTCTTCTATGCGATCTCGAAAAGGCTTGCGATTGCGATCCACAGTACCCAAGCAGCAAATTTGCTCTTCGCAAATGCGACCCAAAGTCCGCGATTGCGATGCATACCCTTATGGCCAAAAATCAACAATTAAAAATGGCCCAGAAATGGTCCAAAACCACCTCGAAACTAACCCAAGCCACGAGGGACCCCCGTCCGAACATGCCAACAAGTTCCGTAACACAAACTGAACCTGCTCGAGGCCTCAAATAACAACAAGCAACATCAAAACTACGAATCGCACCTCAAATCTAACTTAATGAACTTTCAACTTCTACAACTCGCACCGAATCATATCAAATCAACCTGGAATAACCTCAAATTTTGCATGCAAGTCCCAAATGACATAACGGAGCTATTCCAACTCTCGAAATTGCTATCTGAACTCGATATCCACAGAGTTAACTCCTGGTCAAGCCTCTCAACCTTCCAAACGTTCAACTTTCTAATTTTTGCCAAAATGCATCAAATCAACCTACGGACCTCCAAATCCAAATTCGGGCATACGCCTAAGTGCAAAAGCACCACACAAAGCTATTGGAATCATCAAAACACCATTCCGGGGTCTTTTACACAAAATTCAAACTCCGATCAACTCTTACTACTTAAGCTTCTAAGACAAGAATCATCATTGCAAATCAATCCCAAATCATCCAAAAACCGAACTGGACCACACAAGCAAGTCATAATACATAACATGAAGCTACTCGAGACCTTAAGCCACTGAGCGGGATACTAATTCTCAAAACGACCAGCCGGGTTGTTACAAGTATAGATTGGCAGCGAACAAGAAGCCACACCATTACCATTTTCTGGTTGGCTCTTTTATGCAAAGCTAGGTTTTTGGATCCAAAAGCCAAGACAAAAGGACGACAAACATTTAGCTCACTGAGGAGAAACAATATGATAAAGCTCTTGTTTCAATTGAAAATATTGTTATTATTACAAGGACACTTGAAATACCAAGAATATGAAGAGAGACATTTTCCCCATATAAAAACTGAAAACATAATTAAGAGTTATAAATCTGCAAATATGTGGTAAGTTTTTGAGTCCACTACAATGAGCCTGAAGGCAGCTACTAAAACAGTAGCACATGCGAAACCAAAAAAGACAATATTTAGCCAATGCCACTTCTTTTGTAGTGAAGACAACTGTTTTTTCATGGCAACAAGGTACATATGGTTGGGGAGAATGAATGTGAGTGGAAATGTGCTGATAGCACCTGTGAGGCTCATGAAATCCCCGAGGAAAGGTAATAGTGCTGACAAGAACGTAGTAATTGCTAGATAACTACCTCTGACTACTGTTCTAAATGCAATGTTCCGAAAATCGACTGCACTTCCTTTGAATCCATATTTGGTGTCCAGTAATTCATATGTTGGACTTGCAAATATCTACAATAAGCAAAAACATGGCAACCTTTTGTTGCGTTTTTTCTTTAAAGGGTGTGAATGGGAAATGGAATAGGCACCTTTTTTATTGCACCTCTCCATCTCACCCTTCCTTTGTCTATAAATTTAGAGGCTTGCCTCATTTTTATGATATGGAAAAATCTGAAAATTTCTCCCCTCTTTTCTATTTGCATTATTTTCAAATAAACATAAGTGCCAAGTGTGATTTGCTCCGTCTGTTGAGTTCGCTGAAATCTTCGATTGCCAGTATTACAGAATAGTTATTCCGTTCTATCCTGGGAGGAATTAATCCAAAACCTTGGGCAACAGTGAGAGGATTAAATTCCTTAAGGACATACAAGCAACTTGTGGGCTCAGAATTATTTTTTCTGTTTTATTTATTAAACTAATGTTTCTCTACTTCTCTAATTTTCTGATTTTTAACACAGTAATACCAACAATCTTAAGGAATTTAATTTGGTAGTTTTTTTTTTCTAACGGCTTCATGAGAAAATTGTGGTTGATTGTTTGCCGAAGAGATAAACGAACAAGCGAACACTGTCGGATGGTTCTTGGCTAATTCTGCCTGTTGTTTAATTGATGTTGTAAAATCTAGTCAATGATGATAATGAAACGACGTGTCCAATGCAAGTCATGGAATGAAATCTACTTGATCGATTTGCATCAGGATCATTTGTTGAGTAAATTAAATTGCATCTAGTTTTTTGGGTTTTGTTTTTACTAAAGAATGCATGCATATGGTTTTGTGGATCACTTGTACCAAAGGCTGCTTCTCTGTCATCATTTTGGTTTGATACAGTAAAGGGAAGGAACTCAACACATAGCAATTACAGGAACCGACGCTCTTCTCCCAAACAAAGACTAAAATGACAAAGTGGAGGA